CATTTGAAAAATCAAAGTTGCTACTGCTTTCTAATAGAAGCGGCAACACCGCATTGTCGAAAATATTTTAGTTGGCTAGAGAATGTCCGAATATGCCCTCCATTAAATTTTCAAAGTGATCCGTTGTCTGGTTCACCAGAAACGTCTAATGTGCCATCCACCGTGAATCAGCCTGTATTATTAGACAATGGAAGTCCTACCTAATGAAATTCTACAAAATAAGCTATGAGACAAATAAAAATATTCTCAGAAGTCGTATCATAGGATATCAATAACTTGAATTCATTTCATTACTTTCAGTATGTTGAGACCTCAAAGTGCCACTTCTCGTCAAGAATCCGAAATGGCCTCCAAAAGTCTAAGAGAACTCCAAGCTATGGGCAATTCTGCCGACCCCATACAAAGACTTCGATTATTATGTCTCTCAAGAGGCGCTAACGGCATTTTGGGACTTGGGAGGTACGTATTTATTTTATAAATGGGAATAGTGGCCGCTTCAATTATGTATTAAAAAAAACTCTAACGTGAATTTCCACTTGACAGTTTACAAAACTGCGACACATGTTTCGCTATATAATGGCATCTTTAGTAACAATAACAAGTAGAGGGGCCTCCTTTGAGAAATTACCATCTATGAGTAAACAAGTTCCCCCTCTACAGTATGAGTGTGTATAATTTTCCACCATAGGTACCTAAAAATGAAAACTACCATTGAAAGAGGGGTAGTTTGCCTTCAAAGTTCATAATTTTATCTCTCTTGATAGGTTATTATGCAGGGCGTTTCAAATTCGATCCTCACCATTGGGATCTTGAAAACTATGAGAGATAGTAACAATATGTCGTTGAGAAAGTTTTGAAATTCCGAGTTTATCCGGAGATATCCGGAAAAAACAGAAATTTCGGAAAATAGTCTTTACTTTTTCTGGCTTTATTTTTCGAAGGATTTGAAAATAAATTGCGCTTCCACATCGACACTATCGACATCTAGGTGTTAGGCCCGAGATTTTTCAGACCAAGTAGTACGTTCTAGTTTTGTGGTCAGTGCTGCAGAAACTTAGTTTCTGATCAGTGCAGAATCTTAGTTTCTTAGTTTTTTTGTTGCCCCATTATATAGATGTCATCATAAGAAATGCATTGACTATTTGGTAATTTATTATTATATTTAATTTTATTAAACACTCCATTCGTTATTTCGTTTTTAAGACAAATTTCGTCTGTTTTAAAGGATATTCAGAAGAATGGATGATGATGGCAATAAAAATTTGAACTTGGAAGAATTCACGTTGGGCCTGAAAGAAATGGGAATGGAGATAAGTGATGATGAGGCAAAAGAGATTTTTGAGAAGTTCGATACAGATGGTAGTGGAAGTGTCAACTTGGATGAGTTTTTAGTTCATATAAGGGTGAGTTTTGACTTCACAGAAGGGGTAAAGCAGTGTAAAATTTGTATATAAAGAAATATCCAAACCATATAAAATATTTTACACACACGGGTAACTCACATGAATACATTTCTCTACAAGTTTTTCTCGTCAGAACAAACAGTTCAGAGCTCGGCCAAGAAAGAGTTCTTCAGACTTAATATGTACTGAGCACCTGACGTTCATTAGAAAGAATTTTCATCTCTGTGCATAGTGAACAAATATTTCATTCCATCGGCTGACATGCTTTTGATTAGTATATACCATTTTTTTACAGCCACCACTGAGTGATTCCCGCAAAAAGGTTATTGAAGAGGCTTTCAAAAAAATGGATAAGACAGGTGACGGTGAAATAACCATCGAAGATTTAAAAAATGTTTACAATGTCAAATCCCATCCACGTTACATTTCTGGGGAGGAAAGTGAAGAGTCAATTTTGACGAAATTATTAGGAAATTTTGAACAAGACGCAACCAGAGACGGAAAGGTAGATAAACTTTTTTTCGTTTGTGCGTTCATACAGAATGAAAATATTCACACCAAGTCGGAAAAGAAGTGAATATTTCATCCTTAATTTTAGAATCTGCAGAGATTGTGAGAATCGATAAATTATATACGCTGTCCAAAAAATAAGATGGATTTTAATTTTTCTCAAAAAATATGTATTTATTAATCAATTTATTTTTTGACCCCTCCAAAATATTTCCCCTCAGATATAGTACACTTTTTCGGTATGTCCTTGAGCTCTCTCAGCGATTCGGTTTGGGGGCCAAATCTGGTGAATACGGTGTCCGGGGCATGATTACATAGATTTTGTAAAAAAATTGCGAACCAGCAATGACGAGTGAGCAGGTACATTATCGTGATGCAAAACCATGAATTTTTTTTCACAACATCGGATGTTTTCTTCGTTTTGCTTCTTGCGAGCGGCGCATAACTTCAACATAATTCTCCTTATTGACCGTAAGACCAAGTGACAAGAACTCCTGATGCCCTATGCCATGGCAATCGAAGAAAACAGTGAACAAAACCTTGGCATTTGATAGAACTTGGCGTGCTTTTTTGGTCTTGATTCTACGGGTCTCTTCCATTGGGACCATTGGACTTTGGTTTCGATGTCATAACCATATAACCATGATTCGTCATTAGTTATGACCCTTTTAAGCAAATCTGGATCGCCGTTGGCTTCATTCAACAAATCCTAAGCGATGCTCATGCGACGGTTTTTCACACTTTATATTATCTTCACCTATAAGTATGTATGTATGTTTGTTTGATTGTAACTCTCAAGCCCGGGATCTGTATTGACAGAATTATGGGCATTATTGCTTGATCTAATCGCGGGCAGATGGCGCTGTACGCAACCTCCTTGATATTTCTTGATCTATTCGCGGGCAGATGGCTTTGTTTCATATTTTTTGTATATCAAGCGCCAGTCGCTTTTTTCCACAATAATAGATACTAGCATTTTTTCGTTCGTCATTGTTTTAAGCGTATTTAAAAAAAACCTTTTTAGCTTTTTAGTTCGATGTTCTTTAAAAGCGCGTTTTTTGGTTTTTTAAAACTATATTTACTTTTTACTTCTTTGTTTCATATGATATAAAAACGTGTTTTTTAGTTTTTTTAAACTGTGTTTTTGGTCAAATTCAAGAATTTTGGAACGAACTTCACTGCCACACGCTTGGGGCCCAAAATCTCCGAAAATATTGCATGGCATGAGCCAACCGATATGCCAACATCCTCAATAACTTCTCTGATAGTAATTCGACGATTTTTCATAACAATTTTGATCGCTTTCTCAACTATTTCAAATGTTGTTGATGTGCTGTGGTGTCCAGGGCGAGCGTCGTCATTTACATCTTCTTGACTGTGAAAAGTTTGTAGATACAAACATTTTTGATATGAACATTTTTCTGACTCAGGGTACTATCACCGTATTCCACTGTCGACATTTGAAGTGTTTTAGAGCACTTGAATGCAATTTCTTCGATCCATTTTTTTTTGATAACAGAAAGTCGCCGAACACGCAAAACAATTCTTATTTTTATACCTCTCACCAACAAACTTAATATGCTTAATAGGCGAAATTGTGAACATACATTCGAGACATAGAAAATAAAAAATCGCTAATCGAATGTATGTAGCCAGCGAAATTTGAACATCCACTTATACTTTGAACAGTCCCCGTAAAGGTTGAGATTTCCAAAGTTTTGGCCTTCTGGGACACGACACCATCAATAAAATTCACTAACTTTGAGAATGTTTCTACGTTATGTATGTATCTTAGGTATTATATACAAGGTGTCAATTTGAAAACTTCCCACCCTTCAAATCTTACTTCCAGTAAACAATATGAGGAATCGAAAGAACAGGTCAATTTCATTGTCAAGGGAAACACTTTCGAAGACTATTTGTAGCCCTCGTGGTTCAACCCCCTAGGAGGGGTTGATGTTACCCTTAGGCGGGTTGGCTGTCCTTGTTCATCTTTCACTGCTGTTTTCGGCGAGTGCATTGGCTTGGAATGTGGGGGTTGAGCAAACCGGCCATCGGATGCCTGCTTCCACGTATAGCCCCGCTGGATACGGGAATGACAGAATCACTTGTGGTTCTGTTATTCCCTAACTGAATGGCATCCCAACGATGGCTTAATCTTGAAGTGTGTTTATCCGTGCCAAGAGGATGAATGATACTGAGCCTATCAGCTGTCTTTACGGAACCTTCGAGATACCGGGCGCCCTCCCTTTGTAGTGTAATGAATCTGAGACCGGTCCTGGCCGGTGTCCCGGTTGGCGGGCGCATGGCGCGTCGTGAAGTACCGCGAAAACTCCGGATGGGTCCCGAAATCCGCAGAGGGATCCATATAAAAGTATCTTTTTTAGTATTTTTAAACTGTATTTATTTTATCTAAACTTTGGGATCAATCAGCCGTATATTGTTTAGTCTGAAAATCAACTACCAAGCCCAAGGAAAGCAGCAGGCGCGCAAAGGAGGGTTACAAATAAGTCAGCAGGCGCGCGTATTAAAAAAAAAGTCCTTTTTTCAAATGAAGAATTTCATGTGAAGTGAGTTCGAATCATATAAAGGAGGTTAAGTTAGCTTAGGTCTGCCGGGAATAGATCAAGCAATAATGTCGATAATTTTGTCAAATACAGATCCCGAGCTTGAGAGTTACAAACAAACAAACAAAAATACATACATACATACATACAGATGAAGCTTATAAAAGCGTGTTAATAAAAATAATGATCTTGAAAAAAATATATACCACGCTGCCCATATCATACAAACTTCCGACATTCGGCAACTATTTAGTTTTTATGCCATTTGAATTGACTTATAGAATAGACTATACCATAATTGATAATTTATAAGACAATATACATATAATTTACGATGACAGAGACACTTAACGCCCAAAATGAATAGTTTATGAATCAAAGACAGTTGAAAATAATTCTGAAACTATTGACTGAACGATTATGAATTGAATTGTTTGTTTTGTTGATGCTTCTTTGATTTTCATTATCTGTTTTTGTTTTCGTTAGTAATGTCAAACAAAAATATTTGTTTAACTGTGATTAACTTGAAAAATAATTGTTTTGAAAGTAGTTGACAATATTTCTTGGTTAATTTTATAAGTACGGAGTTCCATTGTATAAAAAAGTTTTCCACGATATTTCTAATCCAGCAGGAGATAAATAAATGGAATATTAAAAAAATACTAGGACCCGAATATTCGGCTGATTTAGTTAACACATTAAAAAAATATCATGAAAAGTATACTATTCCCAATTTGTAGAGGAAACCAAATTGTTTAACCTGTAAATAATATAAATTACAAAACCTACAGGAAGACTATAAATGAAATTTCACAGTAACTCTTGGCTTTATTATTAGAAATGGAGTAGGATAATTAAAATTGAGGCCTTCTGTTAAAATGAACATGGTCATCCATGGCAGAATTCTCTTAGAGTACAGTAAAACTTGTCAACAAGGTGATATTTGAGTTTTCCTTCAACATGTCATAACTTTCAGCCGCTCTGACAATAATAGGCACTTAAATAAATATTTTCAAACCATTGTGAATCACATAACTTTTTATCAGTGCCAAGTTTGGTTTTGGGATTCTAAGCTGATCAACCTATATTGTAATATACCTATACTCTACTACCANTTCGTATTCAAGGGGATAAACCCCAACAAATATCAACAAGGCGTCTGGTCCTGATGAAGTGACCGTCATCATACTTGAAAAGTGCGCAAATGAACTCGCACCAATATTTTGTAGACTTTTCAATCTGTCTTACAAGAAAGGGGTTTTTCCTTCTTGTTGGAAGATTGCTTGCGTACAGCCTATTCCCAAAAAGGGCAAGAAAACTCTTTCAAATAACTGGACCAGTCGCTTTGCTACCGGTGATATAAAAAATGATGGATAAAGCCGTAAACCACCGTATCCTCAAATATTTGGAAGGCTTCAACATCTTGAGCGATCATCAATATGGCTTTCGGAAACAAAGATCAACAAGCGACCTTCTATCGTATGTCACCCATATTTGGAATAACGCAATCAAGAAACATGGAGAGTCGAGAGCTGTTGCGCTAGATATTTCTAAGGTCTTTGACCGTGTGTAGCATGAGGGTTTGCTGGCCAAACTTTGATGCTATAGCTTGTCGGATTATCTTTTATGGCTCTTCAGCTTTTTCTGGAAGAACGTTCCCTGCAAGTGGCCCTCGATGGATATCTGTCGAATACTTATACTTTCACCAATATATTGCTTTGCTGACAGCACACTTGTCTCGTCATTACATTTGGATTCCAGGACATAGGCTGCGGATGCACATCTTCACCGGCAGCAGGAGGTTGAATATCTGAATGAGGCTCTAGAAGTAATTTCGAATTGGGGTGAAACTAACCAGGTTCAATTCAATGCCACGAAAACCCAGGCATTGGTTTTCTTCAAAAAGATAAATGTTTCCGAACTGGATATAATAATATCACGTCAGACAATTCCGCTTTCTGGTTCGATAAGTTTGTTGGGGGTTAAAATGGACATTAATATGTCTTAGCACAATCATGTCGCTGGAATTATAAAGGCTGCTCTCAAAAGTTTAAGAATAAACTTACCGAGAACGTTTTTCCACATGGATTTAATCTCCAGCGATTCAAATCCAATGTGAATCACTACTTTCGCGCAGGCATCGTTATAAGAACGTCTTAAGGATTTTCCTGTAGTACTTGTATTTTGTCTTTTAAAAAAACTAACATTTAAATTAAATGTATGTGCATCAATAGTGAATTCATCTAAATCTTTAATATATGTATCCATTTTTGCATATTCTCTTAATAAATATGGATATTGGTAGGCCACTTTCATTTTTTACCTGCAGTCTTACATAATATGTACACTATACAACTGTATATTGTTCATTCTTGACATCGTTGGTTTTGCCCACCAAGTATTTCTTTTGGTTGGTCAATTCTTCATTAAAATAAATTACTGTGGCTGCTCCATCCATCCCAATTTTTGTTAAACCTTTGGTTCTATAATATTCCTTTGCAACTGCAATCATCTT